TCTCAGTAGGTCTTCTGAGAGGTGCTGCTTAAAGAGACTAAATGTACAACAGGGAATTAAAAATTATAGTACCCCTTTCACTGACTGAAATATTGTAAACTTGTTTCACTGGGGCCAGGATTGGTGTCAATGTACTTTGTGTGAAAAGTGCAATAGAAGCATTAGTATTTGACAGCCCTGGTTGAAATAAGTGAAATTAATGGAGCTCTTTTCATATACGACAAGGCCATGGCACCCCTTTCATGCTGCTTACAGACAGAGAAAAGTCAATACTTTTTTATTACTTGATGCTGACCTACATTCTGCACTACAAGTGCCAGGCCCACTAATTGGTTTCAGTTGTGAGAAAAGTTTGCCCCAAAGAAACAATGGAGCAGACAAATCAATCTTTTTTAGGGTAGCTTAGTGGGTTTTGAGCACTTGAAATGACATTTGTGTTGTATTGACAGAATGGGTTGTTACACTCATTTTGTCATGTCAGAAGTCCCAGTACTAGTTGGAAGTATTGTTAACCAGTATTGATAAATTTGCTAAGAATACAAGTTAGCTGGATCAACATTTTACTTGTACAACAGCTTGCCATTTCTGGTTTACTGCCTTGTGAGATGCCTCCGCGGCTATTAATAGGTCATAAGGTTTACTATGACAGCTCAATTTAAACCTCTAATTTTACCATTGCAAGCATTAGGATCATAGGGAATACTTAAATATGATCACTCAATACTAAACAGTGGGGGTTGTGGTCTATGGCTGTACAGTGGCACTTGGCAGTACCCCCTGGTTTTCAACTCATTCCAAAGTGCATTTTTATATAACACAAAATTATACAGTACTCTCAGAATTGTTTGGAAAGAAACACTGTTACTGCAAGTTTATCACTAGAACATGAGGGAACGAATTTTCACAGGTGTCACGGTTTTAACCTGGTCAGTGAAAAACACCATACAGCTGCTCGCTCGTCCTCCCCATCCTAGCAGACAAGAGAGAGAATTGTAGGGTGAAAGGCAAAGAGACACGTAGGTTGAGATAAGAACAATTTAATAACTGAAATCAAATTAAAAATCCTATTAATAATAGTATACAAATGGGTGATACACAGTGCAACTGCTCACCACCCACTGACCAAGGCACAGACTGTTTCTGGCTAATCATCCTGGAGCAGAGAAAGTCTTGAGACTGCAGTCTTGGGGGGGAGAGAGAGAGAGAGAGAGAGAGAACAAGCTTCCAGGCAGATCCTTGTAACATATGGAGTATGACATTGGATGATATGGAATATATTACTGGCCATTTGGATCCATTACTCTGACTATGCTTCCACACAGCTTCTTGTGCACCTTCACACTAGCAAAACATGGGGAATTGGAAAGTCCCTGGTTTCATAGTAACAGCTAAAACCATCAGTATATTATCAACATTCTTCTCCTATTGAAGCCGAAACACAGCAGCATTCTAGCTACTAAAAAGACAATTATCCCAGCTGAAACCAGGACAAAAGGCCTTCAATCTGATGTGTAGTCCTTCAAGGTCTCATTGATTTGCCAGTTGTTATTTGTACATGGTCTCTATGTATGTCTGCATACTCAGATGTAAAATCTCTTTAGAATTTGCTTTAATAATAACATTCCAAAGATAAATTATGTGAGCATTTGGCAAGTCTAATCCATTACATCAGAGTGTGCTGATTGAGACAAATGTTTGGTGGTTTTATGTCACCTTGTTTGACTCCATTGTTTAGAACTGATGAGCGCACATGACAGTCAAGTAGTCAAATATATTGAAAGGGTCCATAGGTCTTGTTAAGGTCTGTGAGTTGAACCTGAGTCACTTACAATTTACTAGAGTGAAAGGAGTCAATGCTTGACAAGCTTAAAAAGGAAGTGTTATATTAACTTTGTTTTTGAATTTAAAAATAGGTCTCAGTCCTGAGAATTACAGGTCTCTGAAACTGAGAATTATGTGGAATGATTTAAGAATGCATTGTGGAAAAATTCCGCAAAGCTCAGCTCCATACTCCCGTGATCCTGAGACTGCAAAGGTGTAGGGTCAACTCCCTAATATGTGGGAATTCATATTTGTAAGGCAATTCATTCTGGCCACCAACAATGAGGGACTGATGCTGAAAATAATTTAGAAGAAGCTTGTTTTCCTCCAGTCACAGCTTTTGTTCTTGCAGCTTCAAAAGGATTATCTACGTAACTTCCTAACTTCTATGCTATGTAGCAATCAGCTTAAATTCAAGATGGTCCTGGCAGTCTTACCACAATCAACCCGCAGTGCATTGCAGTGCCTCCCTGCACCATTTGAACCTACATTTCCCCATCAAATTAGATAGACATGAGAACATGGCTTCCAATTCCTCTCCCTTTATGCTGCTACAATGATATAGTGGGACAGACTGTCTTCAGCGCTGTGAGGTAGATCTTGCAAGGCCAAGTGGTATTTTCAGGCTTTACTTTCTCATGCTGTTGAAACCTGATTAAAATATATAGGTTCAAATACAGAAATGTCTGGGGTTCTCTTCCTAAAAAGATATTATTTATATTTTATATGCATAATGTGCAACATTTATCTAGTATACATTCTAAACTTCTTGAATTAGTCTAACCGTAAAGCCAGCAACACTTTTATTTATCCATTAGGCTGTGTGATGTTTCCTAAATGTGGTCAAACATAACTGCTGGCGTCATAATCAGAGCCAGTTGTTTAAATGCTCAGTTGTGAGTATCTAGTGGAATAGCTTTAAATAACAAGATAAACAGTACAGCTGCCAACCCAAAGTAATCTTACACTGAGGGGGCGTGTGGCACAGAAAATTTCCTCTTTGTCATTTTGATTTGAGTTTGAAGCTGGACCTGGGCTTAGTTCCAGCTCAAAAAACTGTTCACTTCAAAGGCTCCTAAATTGTCCCAAGGAGCTAATTTTGGCAGCCAATTGTTTTTGTTTGGCCAGGCATCCTAATAGCAAAAGCCGTCTGCTCCAGCAAATGAAGACTTCTTCAGTGCTCAGACTCACCATTCCTGATTTTATCCTGATGTGGGGGGTGTACACCTTTTACTGGTTTCTCTGTCTTGCCCCAAGTTCACTGCTTTTTTTTTAGTTAAATTGTACCTAACTGTCCTGCATGTAAATCAAAAATAGACTTCCTATTTTTGAAATAAAGGATGCTGTATTCTGCTCTGAATTACTGCTTAATCTTAAATTATAGCACTGTTATCTGTTTGCTTTCTTGGCAACTGGGGCTCTTTTTTTTTTTCTCCATTCCCATGAACAGTATTAGCCTGGTGAATTTCCTGAAATACATATAACCGATTTCACTTTAGAAGCAAAGTATTTCCAGTTATTCTGGAGCTGTAATAATATTTATTATAATAAATATATGGACAACATTTCCTGCATTAAGAAGGTGCTTGTGACACCGAACACACAAGGAAAATTAAAATATTCTGCCATTCTTAAAGTATAATATGTAATTATGCAAAGAGGCTGTTTCTGTTGGGTAAGAAATTGAGCGGTACAAGGCATAGAGAACATTAAAAATTAAATCTTGTGAACAGTTAAGAATGGGGCAATACTCACTTTCACACCACACAGGGAGTATTTAGTTTGAATGTATATGACTACCTTGCTATTTGAAGATTTATGCACCAGAATGTTGGAGGAATCATACCAAATAACTTTAAATATGAGATGTAAGAAATAACACAGTCACAGTTTGGCAATTCGCAGTGCAGATGAAACTCAGGTGGGTCGTGTCAGTGTTTGCATGAAGTTTACCAGAATTCATAGTTGCTCGATCTGTTTGTGGAGATAAAACTGAACTGTGAACTGTAAAGTAGCTACATGTAAATTAACCAGGGAATTATAATTTTGCTTCATGTCATTTTTCAGAAAAAAATACCGTTTTCATTCTGTTTTTAAGAGAAAACCAAACCTTTCAAATTGTGAAAGGTGTTGAAAAGGTGAAAAATTTAGCTTTCATTCAGTCTTGGCCTCAGACATTTCAAGAAGACATCGTATTTCCATCCACTTTCACAGAGCATCATGTTGACCATAGAAAAGGGTAGAAAGTGTTCAGACCATCTTCTTTCTTAAAAATTAACCATCATATCCTGGAAAGCTGATAATTTATCTGTTAATTTCGGAAAGGGAAAACAATGCTAATGCCAAAGAAATATTTTTCATTGCTGATACTATTTCTAGTATTTCAGGGTCAAATAAAGCAATTTTATTAAGAACGTGTTAAGACCTTGATCTTAAACACCACAGACTTGCTCATCATTTACTACAAACGTTTATTAGTAAGTAGCTAAATCAAAATACTGTTAGCATACTTAGCTTATTTTACTTTCCTGTTTGTTGGCTGTATTAACACTGTACTCTTAAGGCACAGGTTCAGTTTCTCTTATTCAGTTTAGATCTGTAAGCATTTGCGTTTTCAAAAATCGAGTATAATAACCAAGCACTTTTCCTGGAAAAAACCTGTCCAGGAATCAACCTACTTGTATTTTTTCTACCAGAACACGTAATCAATTTGTTTCTCACTAACACTTACTTAATATATATATTCATTTTTTTACCATTTCTCTTGGAGCTGGTTTAATATCCATGTTTTAATGTTAAACAAGGTGGAAAAGTTACAATATTGCAAGGATAACTTGCCTGGTTGCCAGGAAGGAGAATATAATTTTGTGTACCATGATTTGCAAAAGACTATAAAATCTGGGGTTTGGAGCAAGAGCTTTTTGCAGTGCCTATAGTTACTTAGAGATTGAAATACATATTTGCTTGCAATTAAATAATTCAATTCTGGTGCTCTTCTTCAAAGTAATGGACACATAATAACATATGTTTCATATACCTTATTTTGTATAATTTACATTCTAATTCATATAATGAAATTTAACTAGAAGACAATATTTAGAACTCTAAAATAGTTTAAAAGAAAAGTAAAACCATGAAAGCCAAACTCTAACACTTTTTTGTCTCTCTTATTTCTTCAGGACTTTCAAACAGTGTTACCATCGATTGTTCTCTTCGAAAAGTTTGGAAAAACTTATTCCAGAGCTGGGCAAATAGTGTAATGGTCCTCTACACTACAAAATATAAGACACCTGATAAGTAATCAGTAAATGTATTCCAGCAAATGCACTGCAGTATGTTGACTGAATGTCCCATAAAGTATTCTTTCTCTAAAGCAACGTATACTATGTCTGAAGTTGCTTGATCTTTAAGCAATACAGCTTCCAACATTAATCAAAAAAATTTTTTTGTGTTTTTGACAATAAAAAAAAATCTTATGTTATGAAAAAGTTTCTGAAAACACTATATTTTTTTAATTGTAAATCCTTTAGGACACAAAACCAGAGTAATCACGTAAAAGACTTGGAATCACACTGTATTTGTTACAGATTGGTGAGTGAGGTTAACACTGAAAAAAGAAAAAAGTTTAAAAGTTACATCCGTTGTTTTTTTTTCTCACAGCTATAAATGTATCTGTTTCATCACCATTGTTCATAATTTTCAGTGTTAGGATACATCCTTTTTGGATACTGATTCCTCTCTTCAGAAGGACAGGATAGGCTATGTACATGGCAGGTACTATTTTAAATCCTTTTAGCTACTCTGTGGGTGATGTAACATCAGTGTTGCAAAAACAAAGTTCTAATAACATATGCACCTTATTATTAGATCTGTTTTTCTATATCCACTTAATTTTCTTTATCAATAGTTGTGTATTTACTCCTAGTCCTGTGTTAAGCAAACGGATATGTGGGAGCATAATCATGTGATGCTTGTCAAAGAAGAACACATTTGGTGACACAGAACCGATATTTATTTGCTGTGTTTACTTGCATGCAGTCCTGCAAAATATTGAGTATCTTCAGCACTGGATAACTTCAAAAGACTCAAAGAATTCAGCATCATGGGAAGACTTTAGCTTTTCTTAGGAGCAAATCATAAACTAATTCTCAAAATTATGTGGGTGAATTTTTACAGGAGCTTTATGCTGAATTTTCTATGTTACCATGTTTGCTTTTAATGTCATTTGACTAGACTTGAATCAAATATATCTGTTCATAATATTCAAATCAGTTACTCAGTGGTAGGCTTTTTATTACTGAATTTTATTCTTTTGTCCTGTACAAATCTGCAGAAAACCTCCATGAGAAGTCTGTTTGCATGAATACTTTCCCAACTAAGAGTCACAAATTTCACTTCCGCAGGTTTTCAGCTGTCAGCCTATATGCTAAAGCCTTACTGCTATCGTACAGAAGAATAATAGTACTTTCAATTCTCTTATGGTAGGTTATGAGTGCAGGCACTGGGCTGTAGTGTTGTTACTTTTTAGAGTTTGTAATTTTCAAGCTTTGAAAAGTTTATTCTCTTGCATGGCAATGAGAAATTACCTCTGGGAAGCAAGAAGCGGCCACCTCAGTGGCTGAGTCTCCCCGATAAGAGTTAATCTGATCAAATGTATCAGAGTGCTTGAGTTGTTCATGGAAGGGATTGAACATGAGACACTTGTGCAAAACTGTTGATGAATAAAGACGCCACAGTAATTTTTATATGTGAGAGCTATCTGTTTGATTGCTTCAGCTTTAAGGTAGTTCATCACAGTAATTCACCCTGTGTTGCCTCTTTAACTTCATACCACAGTTTCCCATCACTCCGATTAGAAATGGCAATGCCTTTATCAGATTAATCTTTCTTTCTCTTTCTTACTTTCAGTATCTCTGACCCCAGAACAAAGCAAAGCCTGCCGAGCAGACCAGTGCTGCACTGGTGGGAGCGCTCATAGCTAAGGGTCTGGAGCACAGATGGGTGTTAAAACCAACACTTCCGATTTTAATTGTTTGATACATACATACTTTTCCTCCTCTTAAGAGAAAAAAGAAAAAACAACCTTTTTTTTGTTTCTAAGCAGTTAGCTACTTCCCAGAAACCTTCTTGCACAAAACCAAGCCTGTTCATTTTTTTTTTTTTTAGCTGAATAATAATGTAGCAACCATATTACCTGCCAGGTTTGGGTTTTGGAGTTCTTTTGCCAATTGTATTTCACAGGGAATCCAATACTTTTCTTTAACTGGAGTTCACACAGAATTTATGTCATTCGTGGGCATGTAACATCCAAACTGTCTTGTGTGGCCACACTGTAATCCCAGAATCCTTTCATTTCTGATTAAGTACATTCAGCACCTACTCAGTACATTTATACAAACCATTGGTAATTATTCTAGTGAGACCTCTCCCAATCCTTCCATTATGTAGAGACTTTTTTATTGTTTTTATTACCCTTAAACTGCATATAAGCACATACTGAGAGTAAACAGAGGATTAGCTTGAAGATATTTTTAAATAAAAAATCATACCAATCTATTAAACTTCAGATGGATCTCGACCCTTCGTTTTAGCTTTAACTGCCATCCGGATGGTGCACACCTTTGCCAGCATGGGCTAGAGAACCTGCCTCTGCATTTTTTTTACATATGGATGAGGCTGATTGATAGAGAAAACTCCCAATATTAGAAGGAACATCTAGTAATAATTTAACAACCCAGTCCTGGGATAGCTTCAGCACGTTGGACTCACTTGAGTCAGAACACATAATATAGCACGGGGGACAGCGGTGTGTTTTCATTATTTAGAGGAACTGGACATTATGAACAATCCAAAAAAATAATGTGTAAGTGAATTCTAGCAACTCTGCAGTGTATAGGGAAGGTGATAAAAGATAAATTTTAGCCCTGGGGTGAACTTAATTTCTGCATCTCTCAGACAGAATACCACTTCCATTTGGTAACCCTCTGTGGCAAGCACATGAATGTGTCTACCTGGCAAAGGAAGTTTTGTTTTGCTCTCGTGTTTAAATCAAAATGTTTGCATGTAGCAAACAGTTTTTATCTAAAACCAGTTAAAGTTAAAATTTTGATATTTTTATTCAATGTGATAATACAGTGAACAAGACAGGGATCTTGATGATGTCATGTAACCCGCCTATCATTATAAACATGAAGTGATCCTGTAAGTGATTTTGCTTTTCTCTTGTTCATCTTTCTTGTTGATACAGTTTATGATATCACCTTTAATTATCAAATAACTTTTTGCAATATATTTCAGTAATGTATTTTTAATATACTTTTAAATGTAAGTTTTCCTTTTTAGTAAAGTTGTTGTTTTATTGCATTCTGATACTGAATGGTGTCTACTTTAAAGAATATTTTTCTGTTTTATAGGGGATGTTACAATCTATTCTCAGAGTACAAAATCTTAACAACACAGAATGGGTACAGACAGAGGCACTGTGAATGGAACACTCTGAAAATTTGAAATGGACTCACAGATCTTGATGAGTCTAGAAGATATGTAGCCTCTTAAGAACATAGTTAGCTATGACGTTTAGCAAATGACCCACAGCAGTATCTAAAAATTAAAAAGAATCACTGTGATGCCAGAGAAATAGACAAATATAAGAAGCTGTATATCAGTCTTCAGAAAAAAAGAAGCGTAATTATGCTAATTGCCCCCATTAAATGTATTCCAGTCTATTGTAGTTGAACAAATGTGAATAGTAAAACATATATAGCCAAACTATACCAAAGCAACCTGGTTGCTGTTTTCTGCAATACCAAAATATGGCCTTCAGCGTGCAGCAAGACATGTACAATCCTTGCTTTTCAGCCACAGAAACACAAATATTTTTTTGTGATTTGGACTGATCTAGTCCACATGTACAGAGGAAAAAAAAAAATCTGTTGGGCTTTTTCATACTGTGTGGCTGAAGAGGCTTATCACATCCCTTTAGGAAGCAGCACTTATTGGGAAGAACCTGTCAAACCAGCTCACTAACACCATATCTCTGATATGTCACTTAGATATCTTTGTCTAATTCATAAAAAGCCTGAAACTTAATACCCTGATGTCCACTGAGATCTGAAGAACTCGTATAGATCATAGATCTTGAGAGAGTCGAATAATAAGGTTATTTATTTCTATATCAGTGACACCAGCCTACGTGCCAGGTGCTAAGCAATCAAAGCCTCTGTGCTAATGACCAGTGATCTTTGGTTGTAACCACCACTGGGGATCACAGCACTCATAAAAAGGATGCAGGCAAAGTCATTAAAATGGAACAACAATGTGCTAAAAGTTGCCTACAATATCTCACATAATAATTTTCAGGGATATTAGGAAATGTCTGGTAACACCTTTTCTTACCAACTCTATATGCTGTTGCTCGGTGGATTAAGGATCTTTCAGTCTTGGTCCCCAATAATTTTGTTTGATTCCTACATAGCTGCCGTTGTAAACACAGAAAATTTTATTAATTTAGGTAATTTAAGAACTGTCTTCTGGGCTGAGCCAAGATGTTCTCAACACTTGTCAGAGGAAACATTTAGCTTGTAATGCCCTCTAGAGGCAGAATTGCTATAATAGTGTCGACCTCAGATTTACTCTACACTTTTCTGGTCCAAATGTGGTACTGTAGCTTTCAAGCAACAGCTTTGTTTTCTTTCTTTCTTTCTTTCTTTCTTTCTTTCTTTCTTTCTTTCTTTTTGTTTTGATAAGCCACATTTCGCATTTCAGTAGTAGCAGAGGTCTACACCTGTTAGGAGCTCTGCAACCCATCTAGATGCCTCATTCTGGACTTGTACTGAAGCTGTCTCCAGCTGAGATGTGGCCATACTTGAACAGCAAAGCAAAATGTTGATGCTTGCAAACAATAATGGAGTTTGACATACCAATGCTTGACTTTGAAAAAGACTCTGAAAACATTAAAATTAAAGAATATTTCTAACAGTTTGTTGTTATCCAAAGGACGTGTTTGCAACATACCATTCATAAATTCGTGGGTCTCAATGTAATGAATTTAGAAGTTCTTCATAGCAGAGTTTATTAGAATGATGAGGAGCTCTGTCCCTTCCTGGCAGCTATGGGCTCCTATATTGAGAATAGTAGAGACTGAAAAGCAGAGGATGTCCATAATTCCTTGATTTTAAAATCTGGATTACCCCATATTAAAACAGAAATGCTACAGCCGCAAAGGAGTGATGTCCATGTAATCAGAAACAGAACTTGAGCC